CTCTCTCTCTCTCTCTCTCTCTCTCTCTCTCTCTCTCTCTCTCTCTCTCTCTCTCTTTCTTTGTTTTTTACAAAAATATTCTCAGGATATATGCAAATCACTCTGGTGCCATAAAGTAGGTCATCGATGCGAGACAAAGTTTATGCCGGCTGCCGAAGGGACACTGTGTGGAATAAACATGGTAAGTTACAGAAACTGCAATCAAATGCACACCTCTTTTGGGCTGAAATGCATGTTTTTGGGGTAGTAGGCAGTTACTTTTTTTTGAATACGGGATCTAACCGATAGATCTGGTATACTTTTAAAGAATGCATTTGCACCTCAGGGTCAAAATCCAGGCTTCAGATCCTTCTTAGTGGATATGGGAAACATATCCGGTGGGGCAGAAGCAAGCAGCCCCAGCATCATTATCGCAGCTAGTATATTCATAGTTATGTTTACAGACAGATGCCTCCATTCACTTACGGAAGTCGTGAACTCCTTTCCGATTTTATGATGCGTGCATACAATATCTGTAATGTGAAAGTGTTCATACTTAAGTATTTATGTTTAAAATCAGAGCTGATAAGCAGACCCTTCCTCTCATCCTCCTCCTCTCCCTCTTCCTCCTCCTCCTGGTATGGGGAATGAGTAGAGATAATGAAAGTCTGCAATTTACTACTGTGCCACTTCTCTCCTCATCCTTAATTGTCATTGCCTATTTGCATGGGACACCACTTACTTGTCTTTTGCACCCATTCCAGCCCTCACCTTCCCTTCCCCTGAAACATGCATTGCATGTCTGCTTCTAACTCATGCTTGGATTCCTTGCTAGCCATAGTCAGTCATCCTAACAACACATGTTTTCCCTATTCTTCTTTCCTTCAGTGGTGCCGAAGGGGCCAGTGTGTGCCATTTGGAGACCACGGTCCCAAACCTGTGAATGGCCAGTGGTCAGCATGGTCTATGTGGTCAGACTGTTCTCGGACTTGTGGGGGAGGAGTCACCTACCAAGAGAGACATTGCAACAATCCCAAGTAAGGCCCTGCTAGGAAGAGATCTCAGGTTTATGTCATGATTTGCAATCTGTAGGTGGCAATGGAATTCTTTGCATTCGGTATGTATGTATATATGTATGTATGTGTTTGTGTATATGTGTACGTGTATGTATATGTATATATACACACGGTATACAGTATATATATGTACAATATATATATGTATATATATACACATGCATACAGACTTTTTAATAAAATTCTTTGCATTATATACACACACACACACATAAACTGAATACAAAGAACTTTATTAAACATTAAACCATATCCCTTTTAATAACTACGTTCTTCTAAACATTTTTGAAAACTCGTTTTTTAATAAACTCATTCGTGGAAGTGTGTTAAAAATAACATTCATGTTCTATTGTATAAATTTAAATTTGTACTTTTTGTACAGTTGGCTTTGATTTAAATTTATTGCTTACAGTACGTTTAGGTTTTGCCAGAGCTCAGTTTAGTTCAACCACCTGTTTCATGCAGCAGTTCAACAAACGCTCTTGGGAAGTCCATAATCAATGCAGGAAACCTGTGGCCTTCACTTATATTATTTGCAGAACTTTGTATTCAGTAGCATCCTGTAACCTGGATAATCTCTGAGCAAATCTTCCCTCCATAAATTATTATGAAAAATAACCGTGTTAGCCACTGCTGCAAAAGCTAGTATGCCTTGTGGCATCTTAAAATATATATTAATCACAAAGGGGCCCTAAGGCTGCATCAGGTCATGTTTATCATTTCCATCCACTGTGGTCAGCCAGGTGCACTTGCAAAGCTCACAGCAATTTTACTTCTGCTGTTCTCCAACAGTTGATATGTAAAATAGGCTGGCCATGATTCAGGAGGTGATATACAACCCTCAAAAACTAATTTAAGATTTGTAGCTAAATCTGATTCTCCTTTTCCTTCTTATTTTCTCTTCTCCTTCTTCTCCAACTAGTAGCTGACCCCACATTTAAAGGCAGTGAATTCACAGACTAATTTTATGTTATTTACAGAGGTGTTTCCTTTTACCAGTCCTGAATTTTCTGCATTCAGTACATTAGAAATCAGAGAATTTCTAATATTGTGTCCATGGATAAAACACTTCTACCATATCTTCACTTATCTTCACTGTAACTTAAGCAGCCTTAAATGTTGCTTTTATTCTAGCTACAGCTTCTTGATCAATTTGGTTGTCCTTTCTGGTACATTTTTCAGCTATACAGTGTCTTTTTGGACATACAGTAGATTTATTACAGAAGGATATTTTCTGGAATAGTAGAGTCACCTTCTTTGAATACTAGCTATAATTAACTTGTCCAAGAAGTTTAAGGCTGGACTATTTAGTTGAAGATTACCCTGCTCCCAAAGAGATCACAATTTCTACCCAAAAAAACTAAATCCATTGTTTCAAATCACTTGTCAAATCACTTGGGAGCATACTTTCCCAAATTGTTCAGCGAAAGGAAGAAAATTTCTTTTCTCTTAAACAAATCAGTGTTATAGCATTAGACTCCTGGAAACCAGGGCAACAAGTTCCATCTTGTTTTGCAAATAGATGAGTCTTGGGATTGTGCAAATGGCACCTGGGTTCCTCTCTTTTATATGTTAGCAAGTTCTTTCCATGATGGATTTAACTGAATAGCATATTGTGAGATGATGGCAAGTGGTTTGTAATAGGCTTAGCTTCTGGTGATGACTAACAATATAAGGATTTAGGCATCATTTCTCAGATAAATATTATGTGTCGATCCGAACATTTCTTTATAATGTATCCGTGCAAATTTTATACAAGGAAAGAAATCCTGGATCAACTCAACCAAACCTAGCCCAGGGGGGGAAACTTCATGGCATGCATATTGAGGAGTTGTGTGCAGGTGAAAAATGACGTAGCTGTAAAATCTGGAACATTCTTATTTGCTGAATAAAGTATCAGTGATATGGGGCCATTAACCATAACTCAGTTTTGTTCAATCTAGAACCACTTATGGGACAAGTAGAAATCCAATGCAGGTAGCCCTTGCCTTATTATCATTTGTTTAGTGATTTTTTTGAAGTTAAAAAGGGACTTATGACTGATCCTCACACTTATGATCCTCATAGCGTCCTCATGTGATCAAAATTTGAATGTAACAAAATAGGTCATAAACTCACTCAACTGCCTTGCTTAACGATCAAAATTCTGGTCCCAATTGCTTGTAAACATCGGATTTTACAATGCCTCATCCTTAACGAAAACTCATACAAAACGCTTTTACAGCGCCCCACCCTAAAAGAGCTGCTGGGCTTTCTAAATATATGCAGCAGGATGATGTATATATAGAAGCTAAATTTAACTTCAGGTGATTTTGTGTGTGTGGGGGGTTAAATTAGGAGTACGACCCTGGAGATTCTCCAGGCTAGTGTATTTCATCAAAAAAAAATAATTCTCCTCCATTATATAAATTTATTATGCTGGGAAGAGAATTCAGTTCTGAAATTTCTTTCAAAGTGGAAAAGAAATTCACTGAAATGCTTATGGGCGGAGTGTGCTGTTTTGTTTTGTTTTTTACACATTTTCACCAGTAGGTAGCCAAGGGCCATGGAGGGACCCTCCTGTGCATTATTATATTAGTCATATCGCTATAAGTCTACATTCTCCTTGGTTCAACAACATCTCAAGAGATGATATCAGAAAGGAGATTTCCCCCATGGGGCCTTTTCTGATTTGGAAATCTAAGCACCCAAGAAAGTGTCAGCATGATGGCAAGACTATACCTGTAGTAGCAGCTTCCATCATCTCATTAATAAAAATAGCACCAAGATAAATTCGGAAGCAGTCTTTGAGTACCCTGACAATAAGTAGAAAAACATCCTAGGGGGGGTAAAATATATATAAAAAAAGAATCTAAAGCAGTTCTGGCATAGACATTTTCCAAATATTGTTACAGGATGACTCTAGAATTGTGAGAGATGCTAAAAATGATATCTCCTGCTGAGCTAAATTATATCCCATATCCCATAATTTTCCACAACAGGTCAAATACATGTATGTTCTGCCTAGCAAGGCAGCTATGGGAACATTTTGATGGAAGACATAACAGGCCAGGACCTCAATTTAAACCCCGGTCAAATGGAGACCTGCCACCCAGCGATGCTTTTAAGTTAAAAGGGAAGGGAAGGGAAGGGAAGGGAAGGGGAGGGAAGGAAAGGAAAGGAAAGGAAAGGAAAGGAAAGGAGAAAGAGACCGAGAGATCTGAGACTGGTTTAGCAAATTTTGATTTGATTCATATGCTTGCATGCCTTCAATGGCCCCTTTCTATCGTAGACACAGAAGATAAGATAAATTACTCCAATGCAAACATGCCTGATAAATGAGAATTTTTCTGGTTGATCAGCAATTTTATTCCTCAAGCAATCAGGTATTGAATAGCAGATTGTTCTTGTTTTTTTGCTAACGTAAATATACTAAATTCATTGTGTAGGCAAATGAAACAAACCCCCAATTTCATTGCAAGTCACCACAGATTTGATTTTTTTTTTACTTTTTAAATTTATATTTATATTAAACAATAGAAACTGCATCCAGCAGTTAATTATCTATTCTATATCTTTTTCTTTGCAGACCTCAGCATGGCGGAAAGTTTTGCCAAGGCTCAAGTCGCATTTATCAGCTTTGCAACACTCAGCTCTGTGCATCAAACAGCCCTGACTTCCGAGCCCAGCAGTGTGCTGAGTATAATAGCAAACCTTTTCGCGGATGGTACTACAAATGGAAACCCTACACCAAAGTAGAAGGTGAACCAGATCAAATGAGGATCAATCTTACATGTTGATTTAAAGCCATTATAACAGACCTTAATGAATAACGGATCAATAAAATCTGCAGTAATATTCCACAGTTAACGTGATCAAGATTTTGTGATGGCTGCATGTGATCACTTTTTTGTGACCTTCTCATGAGCCAAATCAATGGAGGAGCAGGATTCTCTTAACAGTCATGTTACCAACTTAACTGCTGTGATCTGCAGTTTGACATTTCCTTTGCGTTGCTTTGTGAGGCAGCTTTTTAGGTGGGCCTTCAAATCAAAGCACCGCCTTGAAAACATGCACCACTTCAAAAAGATGTTAAAAATCAGGCTGATGTCAGCTCACTGATGATTTTGTATAGCGAATATCTAGACCAGGGGTCTTCAAACTTGGCCCTTTTATGACTTGTGGATTTCAACTCCCAGAATTCCTCAGCCAGGCACGTGCGTCTGGCTGAGGAATTCTGGGAGTTGAAGTCCACAAGTCATAAAAGGGCCACGTTTGAAGACCCCTGATCTAGACAGAAGATGCTCTGTCCTTGATAATTGCATGCTTACCGTCCAACTTTGTAAGACAGATGCCTCAGCCAAGTGATCTTCATCTAAGCACTTATCTTGAAAAAGATGGTCCCAGATACTCGCTTTCAATCTGGGGAGGGATTAATAAAGCAAATTTGCAGTTTGGGTGGAAGTAAAAGTCAGAAAAGCTGTTTCAACCCATATTAAAAGATATTGCAGTCTAGCAAGTAGTTCAAAGGAGTATGAACACAGCATAGGGCTTTTGCTTCTTCCATTGCATTGCAAGTCTGGTCAGCAAGTCAAGTAAGTTCGGAATATTTTATCGGACATTTTTCGTGTCTTTTCAGAGGAAGATCGCTGCAAACTCTACTGTACAGCAGAAGATTTTGACTTTTTCTTTGCCATGTCGAACCGCGTAAAGGACGGGACCCTCTGCTCACTGTATAAAGAAGATGTGTGCATTGATGGGGTTTGTGAAGTAAGATGAAAGTCAGCATTCTGTTCAGTATAACTTTTTTTTTAGCTCAGCTGTAAAGCATATACTTTGCTTATAACATCATCATGTGAAAAAGTCTGTTGCAAATGTTGTTGACCTATAAGTTAAGCTATTCTCCGTTGAACATCTTATAGAGCTGCTTCTGAGTAAAGTCAGAAGGATTCGCAGAATAGGAATGCCCAGCACGATAGGCTCACATAAAACAAGGTTGGGTAATTTAAGGATCAGCATGTCATCCTGATATGTAACTCAGCCAATGTGTCAAGAAGTTGTGTGAACCAAGTCATAATACTACGTGTGTTTTGGGGCAGTATATACTAGGTAAGCTTTAAACAGCCATTATTAAGGCTGTTTAGATGTTGCGTGAACCCATTAGCTTCTTTTTCAAGTGAAGGAGCAGCAGACCTTCATAAATGGATGGACAGATAGATGGACAGAACGACAAGCAACAGCTTTCTTCTACCTGTTGCTCTTTCACTCATTCTCTGTTCTTGTTGCAGCAAGTGGGGTGTGATTATCACCTTGGATCCAAAGCTGCTTTGGATGCTTGTGGAGTTTGCAAAGGAGACAATTCTTCATGTACATTCTACTCAGGCCATTATTTAACCCAGCATAAAACTAACAGTAAGAACATAATTTCCCTCTGTAATTAAGTCAATGTTTCGTCATAACTTTTCTGTGACAGTCTTTGTATGCTTACAACCAAATATTTAATTGGAAAACCCAAGCTTGGAGAGAGACTGGTATAGTAGCTACCATCCCAGACATCCTGCAGATCAAGTAAATGTTGCCCCAATAAGTATTGTAAATGCTTGCTGGAAAAAACAAACACTTTGCATGTACAGTTGGAGGTCTTAAAATGATAGAATCATAAAATTGAAAGTTTAACCACGCAGTCCCTTGTACACTGAAGGCATCAGTTTAACATTTTTCTGAATTGGGCCATGCTTCTTCTAAAAGATATCCAGCAAAGGGTAATTCACTGTTTCTTTGGGAACTGGGTTCCACTATTGAACTAGCAACCGCACTTAGACTTATATACCACTTCACAGTGCTTTACAGCCCTCTCTAAGTGGTTTAGAGTCAGCATATTGCCCCACAACAATCTGAGTCCTCATTTTACTGACCTCAGAAGGATGGAAGGCTGAGTCAATCTTGAGGATTGAACTGCTGGCAATAGCAGAGTTAGCCTGCAATACTGCATTTTGACCACTGTGCCACCACAGCTCTTATTAGAGTTGTGCCAAAATCTGTTCATTCATTTTTCTGTTCTTTCTCTTCAAATAGGTTTTCTGATGTGTTACTAACTTATGCTCAGACCATTTGAAGATGTCTTTTGAGTTTCCCATGATGGGATTTGTGAATCTTTTTTTCCCCTGCTGCAGAAGGAGGAAAGTTAGGATACAACTCAAATTATTAACCACGATAAATATTAACGTTACAGGGGTAAAATGATGATAGAAACCTGCTTTTAAGTAAAAAGGAAAAGTTTCTGACACACCTGTAACCAACTGATCCTTTTTCTGTCTCTAGATTATTATCCCATTGTTACAATTCCCGCGGGAGCTCGCAGTATTGAAATTCAAGAATTGCTAATTTCTAGCAGCTACCTTGCAGTCCGCAATTTGAATAAGAAATATTACCTAACCAAGGACTGGACAGTTGACTGGCCTGGAAAATTTTACTTTGCTGGAACAATGTTTGATTATCAACGGCCTTTTAGCCATCCAGAGAAGCTGTCAGCATCTGGCCCAACTAATGAGACACTCATCTTTGAAGTAAGTGTACTACTCTTATATTTTCTTCTTGAAGTTTGTTTTAGAAATATCCCTGACAAATCTACAATGGTGTAGCCATTGTCCACCAAAGTACATTGTCATAAATGAAAGCGAAGATATGTGTCCCGGGACAATGTTCCAGGATTCAATCTGGGTCAGGACCAGAGGTTTAGTTTTCTGAGCTTTTGGACTTGTGCTGGAGTCCTAGCTGGAACTTCTCCCTAGCAGAGTGTTAGACACACACTCTGCACCCTCAACCCAGATTGTATCCTGCAGAGTAAATTGTTTGCAGAAAAAATCCTAACCCTCTTTTGGATGTAACAGAAAAACATGCAGCTTTTTTTAAAAAAAATTGACAATGGGCAAGCTCTATTTATTTATCTCTGGTCCTTCAGGGATTTCAGAGATATCAATTAAGATGGTTGACATCTTCTGGTTACCAGATGAAAAAAAGAAAGATAGTGCCTTGTATGTCTTACAATTTGGGTCAAGGAGCTTTCTGAACCTGTACTGACCCTGAGATTTTGTTTCTTGGTCCTTCTCATGAAATAACAAACATGACTTGCTTTTTGTTGTTGCTATCTATTCATTTCTTTCTACCTGTCTGAGGATTTTCATAGATTGCAGGTCACCGAGAGTCATTTGGATAACTGGAGCAGCTTGTAGGTTGAGCAAATAAAATGTAATAAAATCATTCAAGCCAATTATCACGTGAAAGACCGAAGGGCGCTGGTTTAGTTTTCTGTAGTTTTCATCCCAAGACCTCCTTGACTTTTGCAGTTTTCTAACCAGAAAAAGCCCGATGGGAGGGATTCTCTTCTGATATTTTGCTTTGAGACTAATCAAAGCATAGGAGACCTGGGAAGCATCCAACACTGGAAAATTAACTCAGTTCCCGGGCTTGTTGTGTGTGGGGAAAAAAAGTAGGAAAGACGTCCATGCAAGCCACCTTAAAAGTTGGATGTAAGTAGCAATAGCACATAGACTTATATACCGCTTTATAGCACTTTACAGCCCTCTCTAAGCAGTTTACAGAGTCAGCATATTGCCCCCAACAATCTAGGTCCTCATTTTACCCACCTTGGAAGGATGGAAGGTTGAGTCAACCTGGAGCCAGTGAGAATCGAACTCCTGGAGTGAGCAGTGAGTTAGCCTGCAATACTGCATTCTAGCTACTGCACCACCAAATAGAATAAATAAACCCAGGAAACGATTTTCTTGCCCGTCATTCCTAAAGAGGCAAACATGCAGACAATATGAGTTGACTAAAGAGATGGGAAACTGATCTATAGCTTCTTTCTAAAACTCGAAAATCCACGATTATGACTGGAGGAGAAAATAGAAGTAGTGTTATGGATATGTGCTAAATTATAGCAGCTATAATCTGGCACTGTAAGCAATATCAGTCTTTGGCATATGGTTTTGGTAATATAGTTGTGTCTTCCTAAGTGAAGACATGTGAAATACTTTTATTATTATTGCAATCCAGTTAAGTGCTTTTTTGGGGGGGAGATCCTGGTGGAGGTAATTTAAGGTCATTTGGTTTTAATTTTTAGTTCTTGTTCTAAAAACTGTGGGCTTAGAGGCTGGCTGGATAGGAAGTTATTATTGTCTGTGCTACAATCCAGCCTTCAAAAGTAACGTCTTAAGAAGAAGAAAAGATAATAACTCAACTTATTGAGCGGACTGTCTCATCCTGCTTTAGATGAGAACGCAATCAGAGAAAGAATTATGGAAATGAAATGTATGTCAGAGCCTCTTTTGAACCATATGGTATTACCTATATCATATTTCTTTATACTGAATATTCAATTTCTGCAGGCACTGCAGAGGTAAGACTAAGGGTGATTTACTCAAACCATCTGTTTCTATCTTTCTGGATGTTACTACCATATGCAGAAGCAGCTGGGTTGTTTTTTTTTTAAAGATGATGACATCTCACAGAATTAATATACGCATCACAGCTTCAAAAAACCTGTCCAATATTGAAGAAGGAAATTACAAATCCCACCATAAAATAAGTATGTTCTCTACTGTAACCTGGAAGAGATGGATGGAACACTTAAGGTGGCAATCATTCAACAGAAAAAAGAATTTACTTTCTAACTGGGAAAGGTTGGCTAATTAAAATCAATAAATCATTCCGATTGCTTCTCCCCTTGTGAAGGGAACCTGGTAGAAGAAGTTTTTGCTAGTATACCAATTACTGAGTAATATGCAATGTGGGCTTTCAAAGCTCTACTTTTATTATTAGCTACTGGTTGACAAATTAGTTTTGATTTTCCCTAAAGAGAATGGTGAGAGCAAAAGCTACAGTATTTATGAGATACAGATGTAAATTCATTGTAAGGGATAAAAATGTTCTGATTCAGTGAAAGAGACTAGATATGCTCCATGCCTTAAATGAATATATTTACCACATACTTATAAAGGAAGACGGGGTGACAAATGCATTTCATGAGAAAGAAAAAGGAAATCCTAGAGGGAAACTTTTAAAAAGTTATTTTTTCTTTGGGCATTGTACAGTACAGGCTTGTGTGAATTCTCAGTTGTTCATATTATTTTTAAAGTTTGCACTTAAAAAGTCTTCCCAACAAATCAAGGTGCATAACCCCCTTCTTACTTTGAGATTTCAAGAAAATTTTCTGGATGAAAACCCTTTTAAAGCGTCTGCTTTCATAAAAAATATTCGATAAAGATTGGAGGGAATCTTTAAAATCTTTCTTTTTTGCTTCTGATTAGCTGACCTCCCACTCTGCTCTGGAAACGATTTGGCTTTCCTGGCAAGTATTATCTGTGATTCAAATTCAAGGGATAAAAGCAAGATAACATGGTCTGATCCTGACATCCTATTTGCTACCTAACATATAGGTTCAGAAAGATTCTTGGCAAATTTCACTGTAGTGCTGTCTTGACTTCTGGAAACCATCACCATCCAAAATGTTTTCTTTTCTCTGTCACAGTGGGATGGGGTGAAGGGCCTGTCATTTTGACTTTTTGACCTTGATCTGTTACAGCATTACCTGGGTCACTAGAAGGTATTTAAAATGCAGCAGTTCACAGCCAGCCCAGCTGGGAAATATAAACAGCACTAAGTCACTCAGGAAGGGGAACAGGTGACCCCCATCCATATCACTAAGTACCACTCAGGGCCCTACAGTACCTGCTATCTGATGCCATATGCATGCTCCAGATGAGATACAAAATCCTCTCTCCCATCTGCCATCAGCAAGGATGTGTGCATATGTATAATTTCAACTTTGTATGCCCATAAACTTTTTTATGTGACTCCCTTACCCTCTAGCAACCTAGGTATGCATTAGAAGATAACTGTTTTTTTTAAAAAATAAACATTTAGGAGTTCAACCTTGTAATACAACTCCCAAAAAATATGTTTCACTCTTTTTGAGTAGACCCGAGTTCCTTACGGATGCATACTTTGCTCACTTTGCAAACAGATTCTCCTACTTTGAAGTCAGCTTGCAATTGTCCAACATCTGCACCAAAGTCAGTTTGGGCAAAACCTATAACATGTTCAGTGGTTTCTTCCCTCCCTCAGCTTCCTTCCTTCCTTCCTCCCTGCCTCCTTCCTTCCATATGCTTCAACCTGTCTATATTTCTGCTATTCTCCCATCCAGTGGCTTTGTTCGTGGGGTGTGAAAAAATATTCTTCATGCCCATAATTGCTCTGTAGTTTAATTCTGTATTTGCTGATGCAGCAAATCTCAAAACATGCATTCATAACATATATTCAATGTAATATATGATCTGGCAGGTCAGATCCAGCTGCATAATTCTAACTAAAATCTCTATAAGAAGTTGACATACTAAAGTCAGTGTTGACATACGTGTTAAAAGAATTGCTCAACTGGCTTGCCAATGTACATATCTATTTGTACATTGGTAAATACCTGAGGAAGAAAAAAGAAATAGATACTTATTTGGTCAAGGATATTTATGGCCTGAAGTCTCAAAACAAGTCAAAATTGGCAGGAAAAGGAAAAAAAAGTATTTAATTAAGAGATTTCGGAGAGCTTAGAGAACATCAAGGACCTCACAGTTCAACTCTGAGCTACAAATATTCTATTGGTAAGAGATTTCAGTTTGTCCATTGTTTAAGCTTCCTGAAGCCCTGAGCAAAAGATGTATTCTTATGAACAGGTTTGGCAAATCTTAGCTGTCAAATCTGTGGTTTTGAATGTATAAAGCCCTGTGGTCAGAGCTGTTGTGCATTGTGCCTGAAGTCAGGTGGTGGTGTATTAAAGGTAGACATTAAACAGTTGTGTAGAAAACCTGGAAATGTTTAAAGAGATTGTTTGCCAGCTGTAAATGTAAGAACTAATGCCAGTTGGCTGGGATGTTTCTATCTGGAATCTCTCCAGGTAAGTAGATGGAAGGGCTTGGAAACCTTTTCAAAATTGTCATTTTTCGTCACACGGCAGTATTTGCTAACCTCTGGTATTGTATTACCAGAAAGGGGATTGTTTTGGAACTCGAACACTTCACACTATTGTAGCCAGAGTTATTTTATCTAATGCTGTGATGAAATCCACCTTGCAATCAACAGAAGTGTTTTCTTTTTCTCCTGAGAAAGAGGCTTCTGTTTCTAAAGCTCCTTCTAATTTGGAACAATTCTTTTGCATTTCTCTTGATCGTTTTTTTCTTTTTTGGGGTAAGCTGCTTTGCTGTGTTGGAATTTTGGTTTTTCTGGGATGCATCTTCCCTCTGAAATATTTCAGATCACCCACAATTCAGAATCTGAAAAAAAAGGCCTTTGGGAATAGATTTCATAGATGACTTCCCTTGGGATTTAATGGAGAGATGCTTGTATAATGAAAGACAGGATTTTTTCCTTTCTCGTCTTTGGGCACTTGGTCAGTAAATAAGTACAAGAACACTATGTTCCAGCCCTGAAAATTTCAACTGAAATTCTCTTCTCCTTCAATAAATATTTCAGAAGCAAATGTGCTTGTGTCACAGTGAATGGCAACATGCGAGATGTATGCCAAGCATTAGTTTGATGTCTTCTGTAGTAATTCGTTTCTGTATAGAAGGCAGCTTGACGGTAGTTCTGTCTTAATAAAGGAACATGAATATGATGTGCTTTGTAGTTTCATAGCCACTCAGGATAAAACCAGGACAAAAATGGTTGCTGGAATTGGGTATGTCTAGTTTAACGAAGAGAAGGACGAGGGGGTACATGATAGCAGTGTTCCAATATCTCAGGGGCTGCCACAAAGAAGAGGGAGTCAAGCTATTCTCCAAGGCGTCTGAAGGCAGGACGAGAAGCAATGGGTGGAAACTGATCAAGGAGAGAAGCAACCTGGAACTGAGGAGAAACTTCCTGACAGTTAGAACAATTAACCAGTGGAACAACCTGCCTCCAGAAGTGGTGAATGCTCCAACACTGGAAGTTTTTAAGAAGAGACTGGACAGCCATTTGTCTGAAATGGTGTAGGGTTTCCTGCCTGAGCAGGGGGTTGAACTCGATGACCTCCATGGTCCCTTCCAACTTTATTTTATTATTATTATTATTATTATTATTATTATTATTATTATTATTATTATTATTATTATTATTATTATTATTATTATTATTATTATTATTATTATTATTATTATTATTATTATTATTATTATTAATAATTATTATTATTATCATCAATGGATGGAAACCAACAAGAAGCAACCTAGAACTAAGGAGAAATTTCCTAAGAATTGAGGACAATTAACCAGTGGAACAAAATGCCTTCAGAAGCTATGAATGCTCCAACACTGGACGTTTTTAAGAAGAGATTGGACAACCACTTGTCTGAAGTGGTAGAGGGTTTCCTGCCTGAGCAGGGGGTTGGACTGGATGACCTCCAAGGTCCCTTCTAAGGCTGTTATTCTGTTATTTGTTTCATAGCCATGCAAACCTTGCTTAACTGCAACTGGGCGTTTCTGTCTCCTTGCTGAAGCTGGAAGACTAAAAAAATATTGGGTTTTTAGAAGGGCTTGATAATGTGTTTCTGTGGCAAACTTCAAGTTAATTTTCTATTTTTTTAACTGCTGTGACCTAATATTGCTCAATGATATCCACCATGCTCTGAACGTGAAGGGCAGCTCTTTAAACAATAGGGCCAGCAAATAACATCAGAACCATATGAAAATAACAGATATCCTGATGTTATTACCAGCCAAATTAAATGTTAGCTACTCCTACCAAGAGACTCCCGACCGAGCTTTTCCTGCCACGTTTTGAACCCACTGCAAATTAAAGATACCTCAATGAGGAGTCTCCTACAAATCTAAATAGCGAGTAAACAATATAAGGAAAAGACTTAGCCTTTAGAGACAGGGTGTAGTTGGAAATCATCAACAAATGTTCATAACTGTTCTTGGCCACCTCCCCTAATCTGAGTGTTCAGGAACAGCACAAGAATCTCAGATCCTTCTCATCCAGAACTCCCTTCACCAAATACTTAGATGTCTGGATTCAGTTTTAATAGTTTAGATTTCATTTAGATTGCAATCTAGTATCTGGCAGTGCCAGTCAGGGAAACGGCATGGGATGAAGATAAAAAGAGAAATCTAGTTGAACGTCATCCATATGAAGTTTTGACCCAGCCCTGTACAATTCCTGTTCCTCCCAACATCTCCAGGGTCTTGTGATTTACATTCAGATGCTTGGCAACTGATTCATATTTATGATGGTCACAGTGTCCGAGGGTCATGTGAAGTAACCAAAACCTGCTGCAACCTCCCAACAGACAGGGGGGGGGGAATAAAAACCAAACACCCCCACCCCACCTGCGCTGCCAATCCTCAACAGAAATGCTCACAACAATGAAAACCTTGGACAGGAGGAAGAGCGCCACCGGGCAGGCAGGCAGGCAGGCAGGTGTCTTGCTCGGCTGTGCCTTGGGGGGCACTTTTTTCAGTGCCATTGTAACTTCGAACAGTCACTAAGCGAACTGTTGTAAGTCGAGAACTACCTGTACTTCATCAGTTTTTTCCTTTTTTGGGGGGGTCATCAAGTGTTTGACACCTTGCTAGGCGACTGGTGGTACTCGGATACTGCCATATCCTAAAAGTGGTACAATGGGTGAAAAGGTTGAAAAGCCCTGTTCTAGTCCAACTCAAGCTTTGATACTGACGTAGTCCCCCAGGATTACTGCCCTTCGGTGTGCTACTATTTGAGTAACAGGAATAAAACCATGACAGAGTCACAACCCCAACTCTTGACTTTAAAAATGGATTATATTAAAAGCTACGGAGATATCCAAACTGCTTCTTCATATTTATATTTAATCTACATCTACATCTATCTTTGTATCATCTAAACCTATATTCCACAGTCTTGAAATGTAACTAATAATCAACCATTTTTGAATGTTTTAGAGTTGGTATTGTCACAAGAGTGGATGTGGAAGCTGACTACATCTCTTTTTTTTTAATTAAAAAAAAACCTCATACGTTACATTACATCTGTCTGATTTCTCAATACTAAAACTTGCAATAAATCAGAAAGCCAAGCTATTAGTTTTTCTGAATGGATATACAGTATACGTCTGGACTAGGTCATGAATTTCCATGTTGGAGCGCTCCCAGAATTCGTGGACTGAAATAGAACTGGAAAACATATCATTCTTCCAATTTTTCTTTTTTCCTTTTACCATCCCAAACCACACAATTTGCTGTACAAGTAGTCAATAGCAAACTACTCAGATGTTATAGGTTCAGTGTCTCTGGACTTGGACACCCCTCATTTTTGGGAGTAACATTTGACGTTGTTTTACATCATTTCCCCTCCATGTGATCTCCACCTCCGCCTACATGCAGATTTTTCGAGTCTGAATGTCTTGACTTTAAAAATGTTAATTAATCTTGATTTTTATTTTTATCCCATGAAACTTTTCCTTATTAGTTCTCTTTTACATTCTACATCCCTCCATAGATTTAGTCCAGTTGATATTGGCAGTGTACCATGTTTCTGTCCATTGAATCCATCTTTAAAACAAAGACATAATTGGAATTCACCTTGCACAGATTAATCAAATGGGGAGGTTTACTATTAAATACATTGATATTACAGCTTTTATTTTTCTTGAAGAAGCAGCTAAATCCTATGGCTTTATAAAGTAATTAAAAAGAAAAATAAGAATGCAAATAAATTATATTTGCACGTGAAGCTTTACCTAGGACTTAGGGGATTTTTTTTGCCAATTAATTCATGAATAATAGAAACAAGAATTATGAACGAACATATGTGAAAGAGATACGAATGAGAAAGAGACTTGTCCCTAATTTAAAGTGATTGTGTTTACAAAATCTTCCATTGTTTGCACGTAGATTATAAATGGCCAGAAATTGCAGAATCTTGTTGTTGTTGTATCAACGCATGTCATTAAACATTCTTAATGCATTAATTTCAAACTTATTATCACCAAAATCTTAACTTGTTTTCTTCAGTTCTTCTGTATCATCCGAGATGGACAAGAGTGAATAAAAAGCGGTCTCACTCTAAAGCAGGGATGTATAATAGTCCATATACTTAATGAAATTATAGTAACACGTCAAGGTTGAGACCACAATTTTCATTGACAGGAAAATAGTCTGCTGCAGCTCCCTATAGAGTTTATTGCAGTAATTTAATCAGAAGGCAATAAGGGCAGTTTTACTGATGCCAGAGCCCACCTCCAGGAAAAGCCACAACTGAAAAAATGGATAGACCCCCTGCCCCCTATTAGCTGTCCAATATGTTCATTATTGACACCTCTGTCTAATTACATGGCCATTATGAAAAAGACAGATGTGTGTATTCCACAAAATCAGCAGTTTGTATTGCATTTATGAGCAGAGGGTAAGTGAGCAAAGGCAGGCAAAAAGCTGTGTTCCCTTTTTTGTTTGTACCAAATTCCTAGGATGAAAGTTCAATAGGAACCCACCACAGGAGATAGGAAGCAATGAGTGGAAGCTCATTAAAGAGAGATTCAACTAGAATTAAGAAGTAGTTTCCTGTCATTGAGAACAACTAATCAGTAGAATGACTTGCCTTTAGAAGTTATGGGTGCGCCATCATTTTCTTCCTCTTATGATAATTAGGTGCTGTTACAAGGGAAAAATCCTGGCATTTCGTGGCGGTATACCTTATCTAAGGTGAATAATGAGAACAAGATATTCACAAAAAGGCATAGCTACTCCTGGGTGATGGTGCAGTCAGATTGCTCAGCAACCTGTGGTGGGGGTGAGTATGTCAAATTTACCCCAAATATGTCTTCCTTTTTCTATTTATTTAGGACTGTCTTAAGTTACAGAATCTAACACTGAAATCCACTGTGTATCAATTTGAACTTACTGAATTATTGGCACTCAATTCATTTCTTTCCAGTTAAATTCCATGTTTTCTAATGATTGATTACTTCGATAATTTTTCTTCCCGTGGAAGAAATCCCCTCGGTTGTTAAGGGCAATGTCGCATCACCATTTGCTACCTTCTGCAGGTTTCATCTTTGATTTGGCTTATTGGAAGCCAGCAGTGAAGTTTGCAAATCGTAATTCTATGATTGTTGAGATGGTGCAACCATTGCAGTTGTGAACTGGACACTGAGCAGTCAGACTGTGATCACACGATCATGGGGGACACTGCAATGGCTGCAAAATGAGGACTTGTTCAGCACCATTATAACAGTCACTGAGTGAGGGGACATTAAGGGCCACTTGTATTTCAGCCACGCAATCTTTCCTGTATGTAGTTCAACTCTTTATAATGAGAGACAAAATTCTAACAAGTCTTTCACCAAGATACCTTGAGCAATTTTCACAGACTGAGGCAGAAGATCTCTTACATGTTTTTCCAGAAAATATGATTTGCCAAAAATAGCTGAACGGAAGTATATGAAGCATTGGTTACTCTTATTGTTAGAAGCAGATGTGTTGGCTGCCTCAAAAACCCTTACAGGTTTGAATGTGTTAGACAAAGTATTTTTAGAGACCAAGCTTACATTTTATTGACAATTTAAACAGCTATGCTGAAATACACATGAAGACTGTCCCAAAAAATTAGGAGTAGAAAACACCCTCAGGTTTTAAGTACCTCTAAATGCATTTATTACTATTTTAAAACCAGCATTAAATGTTTGTATTACTGTCTTAAAACAAGATTTACTTATTTATTTATTGGAGTCTACTGGAATTCTCAGTGGATGTTTTTAAAAGGCTGGTTGTTGTTGTCAGTCTTTGGCTTGAGATGCAGCCATCACACGGGAGGCGTCTGCTAGATTGTTAGCAAAACTCACCTTCCCTCTCAGCATTTCCTGCTTCTTTAATCTCATCTTTCTGTATTTTCATGGTTTGTTTATTTCATGGTTTCATTATTTTGCTACCGTTATGTTTACATTTCTTTTCATTTCTCCATTTCTACTGTTGTAAGCCACCTAGAATAGCCCCACAATGAGAGAGGTGGGAAATAATTTTAACAACTTTTAAATAATAATAAATTCTGAAGGTATATCACTACATATGCTTTGGTCAATTCCCTCAGTACCTTCTTATGGGTTGAAGATTCTGATTATGGGAAACAGTGGCCTTGGGAAGAAGTGAGATTTAAAAGTGCCAAAGAGTTGCTAAATAATATGCCAACGTTTTTGAATTTTTCTACATGAGAATTTTGGATTTGCCCTTCCAAAAAGAGTTCTCCCCAAAAAACTTCAAACGTTCCTGTTTTATTTTCAATATACTGTATACCAAATTTGATTAGTTTTTATCACCTCTCGGTCTTTGAATAGTCTCTTTATCAGCATAAAGGAAATATTAGGTAATATCTTTTGTTGTGATCAAGGTTCACTTTGTGATTTACAAACTGTGCTGCAGCAAGTCTTTTGTGAATGTACGTTTTCTTGTATTTGTATGTACATTTTAATTTTTTTTATATAAAATGTATAGGCTGCTCAAGGTAACCCTGGGCGACTTACAAATTCTATGTACTTTTTCCCAGATCATTCTGTGTGATTTAGCTTTTGCTGCTTTCATCTGGTTTTATGTTTTGTTTTATTTGTATTCATGTTTCTTCTCTACTTGTATCTAAAGCAATAATATATAATTACAAATCAAAGCAGAGGAATAATAATATTTCTAGTTCTGGAATTTGCAGACTGCTTCTTCTTTTTCCTTCCTGCCTCTTGGTCTTCTGTTTTTTAATTCCTTCTGACAAATCTGATTTCCTCAGTCAGTTAACTCCCCTCCTGTTAGCTCATAAAATCAGGAGTTTCAAGAATGTCTATTGTTAGTCATATTAAAAAGAGTTCCCTGTGAGAAAGCCCATAACTGTTGGCATTGGGTTTACAGCCAAAGACCACATTAAAGAAACTTTCTGGGATGGCTAGTATTGTCTTTATCTTGGAGATAGGCATTTTGTATCTTTGGCTCTGTCACTCTTTGTTCCCCATGTAACTTTTCTGTTGCTTTCTTTCTTTTATTAAAAGATTATTTTAATGAAAAGGCAGGCATGCGTCAACACTTCCTCCTACTTGATGGGGAGAGACACTTTTATGACTAGATATTGGATACAATTATGAGGTCAGGTTGTGTTTCTCACAAAATGGTTATCATGTGGGAGCTTACCTCTTCATAAAATTGATCCATGATAGATATGACCAATTACAACATATCCATTTACCAGAAGACAAGTTAATGAGATTGCTCCTCAGGGTTCCCTCTAGCCCTGTAGAATATTTGTGGCCACTCTAGCATATCTTTATAACTTTCCTGAACAGGTAATCAGAAACCCACCATTTATATTTTTTAAGAATGCTTCTGAGGCCTCTTAGAAGCATTGTTGGCTTGGCTTTGCACCGTGGGACCTTTTGATATTAGAAGAACAAAAATAAAGAGCTGAGAAGGGACAAGAGCTTTGCA